GCGGAAGGGGGGAAGAAAGAGCCCAGCAGGGGAAATCAGAAGGAGCCTCAGGACTTGCCGTAAATACTCTTCTTCTCCAAACCAGCCATGGTTGGTTCCTGTGGTTGGCCCATGGCTGCCTGGGGGCATTCTGGGAGTTGAAGTCCACAGGGCCTTAACAGTTGCCAAAGTTGTTTGAAGCCTCCTGCCGGTGGCTGGCTGGGGAATTTGGGGAATAGAGTAGGGTAGGTTAGGGTAGGAAGTCCGGTTGCCTTTGGAGAAGCCCTGAGGGGACCCACAGGAGCACCCGGGGTGGGGGGGCAGACTCTCTGGAGACCTTTGGGGCTGGGAGGCTGGATGAGGCCTTTTCCCCTTTGCCCTGGGAGAAGGCAGCCCAGCAGGGGGACCGGCCCACTCGCCCTGCGCCCCCCCCAGGCCTTGCCTTTCGCTCCCCTCCGAGGGGCAGCTGTGAGGGGCGTCAGTGGGAAGGTGGGGGAGGCCGGGGGCCTTTCCCCTTGACCTTCCTGCGGAGCCCACGTGCTGAGGGGGCTGGCCGAGGAAAGGGCCCCCTTGCCCCCTTTCTTGCCATAGTTGTTAAGTGAAGCACTGCAGTTGTTGATGATACGGTTGTTAAGTGAACCTGGCTTCCCCATTGCTTCTGCTCGTCCAAAGGTCTCCAATCATGTGATCACGGGACCCTGGGAGGCAGTCACTGTCTGTCTGTCTCTGGCGTGAAAAGGGGGAAGGGTCCCTGCATAGTCACAAGGGAACTAAGGCCAAGCCCCCCCCCCCCCAGTGCCATCAGCCCTCATCTAACTCTAAGCAGCTGATCCGCTGGGCAGCTGGGCCTGAAGGGGGGGGGTGCTTCCAAAAGACACCCCCCCCTCCCGGTCTCTGAAACCTTTCCAGGCAGCCTTGGGCCCCTCGTTCTGCCGTTGGGTCTGTGCGTCATTCAACACTTAATTGAGGCACCAGCCAGGATATTTGCAATTTGAGGAAGATGCAGCAACTTCCCAAACGGACTCACTTGGCACCCCTTCCCCAGCATCTGGGCGAAAGATGCCATTTCTGCGCTCTCCCAGGAGGGGCCGAATGCCCCACCCTCCCCTTAATCCGGCCCCCTGCGTGAAACGGCCTTGGTGCCAGCAGGCATTTGGGGGTGGGGGGGTTGGTTGGAGAGTGTGGGCTCCTGCCACCGCCCCTGGCTCTCCCTCACCCTGGCAGCAGCCACAGGGCAGCCCCACCCGGGCAGGCGTTGGGAGGGCTCCAAGGGAGGAAGGCCTCAGGGATGGGCCCTCAGGTGGTCCTCGACTTACAACCATTCGTTCAGTGACTGCTCGACATTATAATGGCATGGGGGAAAAAGTGACTTATGACTGTGTTTCACCATTACGCATCGTTGCAGCATTCCTGACGCTTGGCCGCTGGCTCATATTTATGACGGTCGCAGGGATCCTGTGATCCCTTTTTGCGACCTTCTGACAAGCAAAGTCAAGTGGGAAGCCAGATTCACTGAACGACGGTGTTACTTCCTTAATAACTGCAATGATTCACTTAACAACTGTGGCAGGAAAGGTGGTAAAATGGGGCACAGCTGTTGGGCTCAATTCTGGTCGTAAGTCAGGGACTACCGGTGCCAGAGTGGAGGCTCTCTCTTTGTAGGCCCAGAAGGAGAAGTGGCCCAGTTGCCGAGGCTCTTCGTCTCCCACCCTTCTGAGAAGGATTATGGGATGGCTCCGTTCCTCCTCCCCGTGGGAAGGCTCTGAGAGGAGCCAGAGCTCCCAGGGACTCTGCAATAGCAGTAGCAGTAGACTTATATACCACTTCATAGGGCTTTCAGCCCTCTCTAAGCGGTTTACAGAGTCAGCATATCGCCCCCCCCCCAACAATCCGGGTCCTCATTTCACCCACCTCGGAAGGATGGAAGGCTGAGTCAACCCTGAGCCGGTGAGATTAGAACCGCTGAACTGCTGATCTANCCGGGATGGGATTGAGCAGGGGGTTGGACTAGAAGGCCTCCGAGGCCCCTTCCAACTCTGTGATTCCGTTTCTGCCACGAAGCCCTTGAATTTGTAGTTTGGCTTTGGGGAGAGGCTTCAGGCAACATTTCTTCAGCCCCTTCCTCTTTCTAGAGACCCCCCCCATCACCCCCCTCCCCTTTTCCTCCCTAGGGGTCCGGACTTCCCACCTTTCCCCTTCTGGGCCCCTCCCTGTGTGACAAGGACGCAACTCTCCTATCCCTTCGTCATTCCTAGGAGCCTCTCCAAACCTTCCTCTGCTGCCTTGACTCCTCCAGACGCTCTCAAGGGCTCAGAGAGTCCAGGGAAGAGGAACCTTTTTGGGTTGCACTGTGGGGTCCTTCGCGCTTTCAGAGACGGGGGAGTGGGTTTCTGACAGACATTCGTGACCCAAACGAGGGAGGAGGGGGTTTGCTCCGGCCACAGGTCCTAAAGTTGCCAAGGCTGGAGACCCCTGCTCTGGGTGACAAGGGCTCTGTCTGGCGGCCCTGGGACTCATCTTGGGGGTCCCCAGCCTCTCCCCCTCCCCTCGAGCGCGAGAGAGCTCTGTGCTTTTCTTCTCCCCCCCCCCCAACCCTGGCCGCGGAGCGTGGTGGGCAGGAGGAGCCTCTGCAGCGCAGGGGGGCGTGCGCATTCCAGATGCTGATGGCTGCCCTCTCAGTGGCCTGGAACGGGGCTTCAATGTGCCACTCGGGCCCTGTTCTTAATTACCCGCCCGCCGATGATTTTCAAGCCTTGTGTAATCTGCCATGCAGATGGAAGCGGCTGCAGCCTTCCCCCCCCCCTCCCTCCCTCCCTCCGCCTGTGTACTTGATGGAAAATTAGATTTAACTGTTCGTGCAGACAGCATCCTCCGCTGATTGTTCCTCAGCCCTTTGGCAGCGGCCGCCACGAGGGGCCTGCGAGTGCGGCTTCTTCTTCACCCCCTTCGCTCCTCTCTTTGCAGCCAGGCCTTTCGTAATCCCCCTCAAATCAGGGCAGGGGCCAGGTTCAGCTCTGGGGAGGGGCTGCAAAGAAGGCGGCCTCCTCCTTTCTGTGCCTTCCCCTCCCCAAGACCCTCCTGGGTGAGCAAGTCCAACAGAGGAAGATGCCCCCCTTTGCTCCGCCGGCTCTTCTTTGCCCCGGCCCCTCCTTGGAGCCTGCCCCCCCCTCTTCTGGACAGCCTTTAAGTCAGTGTTTCTCAACCTTGGCCACTTGAAGATGTCCGGACTTCAACTCCCAGAATTCCCCAGCCAGCATTCGCTGGCTGGGGAATTCTGGGAGTTGAAGTCCGGACATCTTCAAGTGGCCAAGGTTGAGAAACACTGCTTTAAGTCATTGGAAGGTGCCCAGTCCTGGTGAGAGGCTGAGTGGGGGTCTTTCGTGCAGCCGCCTTTGAAATGGGGGAGTGGGAGAAGAAAGACCCCAGCAGTGGAAATCAGAAGGAGCCTCAGGACTTGCCGTAAATACTCTTCTTCTCCAAACCAGCCATGGTTGGTTCCTGTGGTTGGCCCATGGCTGCCTGGGGGCATTCTGGGAGTTGAAGTCCACAGGGCCTTAACAGTTGCCAAAGTTGTTTGAAGCCTCCTGCCGGTGGCTGGCTGGGGAATTTGGGGAATAGAGTAGGGTAGGTTAGGGTAGAGAAGAATTCTTCATTGGCCAAGTGCCATCTGACACACTCATTTTAATGTTGCCAACTTTGAAGTCCCTGTCCGTGGCTGCCTGGGGGCATTCTGGGAGTTGAAGTCCAC